CTTACTTCACTTCTCAGCATAACACCCTCCAGGTTCATCCATGTTCTAGCACGTGACAAATTTCCTTCGTTTTTAAGCTTGAATAATATGTTTTTTTAATCACCGCAACTGCAGAAATAATCGAGTGTGTGTGTATGAGGGGGCTTTTGCAGGCATGTTATGAGCAGGGCTGGCTGGGCGTGTAAACCTCTGCCTTGTATGTGGCCCAAATTCCCGACTCCACCCATGTGCGCCTCCCTTCTTGCCGGGGGGGCCAGGCCGGAGCGCTCTGGTCCAAGGTAGCCGGACCAGAGAGCCAGCGGTGTGTGCCCGGCACTGCCCTCCCCTGAGATGCTGCTCTTTCTTCCAGGTACCCTGCTGACCGCCCACTCCCCCACTCCTGTGGCCCCCCACCCTGTCACTGTGCCCACGTATCGGGCCCCAGGGACGCCCACCTACAGCTACGTGCCCCCTCAGTGGTGATTGCCCTGCAAATGTAAGTGACCGGGGAAGCCCAGGGCCAGCTCTTGACTGACAAGAAAGATGCTGCCTGACTGTTGATCCAGAGGCAATGTGGTGGTTACGTTTGTGCCCTTACTGGGACCCTGCCGAGTAGGAGAGAGACGGAAACTGTTGAGTGCATGCCGAGTACCCCATACGCTTTGCTGCACGCCTGGGCTGTGCTCTGATCTCCCACCCGCCTCCCGCAGGAAATAGGATTCCACTTGTAACTGGACGTCTCTGTGGGGCCCAGTCCTGCCCTTTTTCAGAGCAGTGGTGCCGGAGGCACGCTGTGTGACCGTGTCTGTGTCTCTCCCCACCCAGGTTCGAGGATGGAGCTGCGCAGCCCCGTCCCGGAGGTTCCACAGCTGGTGCTGCAGGCCTCGCGCCTCCAACCAGGACTCTCTTCTTAATGCTCTCGACACTTAGCTAAACACTACTGCGGCCGGCCCAGCCCGCCCCAGCGCCCTCAGTCTCCACCTGACTCTGGGTTGGTCTTAGAGCAAATCCTGTTTTGTGGGCTGCCAGGCAACTTTTTAGCTAACTGTAATGTAAAGGGAGTATTAATCTGTTCTGAATCATATCTAGTGGAATGCATGTTCAAAACAACAAACACAAAAACAAAGCTTGCTCAACCTACCTGCAGTGACTGATGCAGAACATCATATGCAAAATCTAAAGGGATGGACAAGTATCTTAACAGCCCATATCACTCATGCACTGTGGTAATGTGTGCAAAGTCTTAAAGTATTGAAGTGAATTTCTTCCTAGAGCATCTGAAATCTCTTCGATGATTCTTCAGCCTTTTGGGGTTGACGTGGGTTGCCAGGTGGAATCATGGCCTTCGAGTTTCCAGCCATCGGTCCTGGCACACTGACCGCATTGGGAGAGAGTGTAGCGGCCACCACTGTGTGGGGTGTGGCCAAGGTCATGGGCGCCCCTTTCTTGCTGTTTAGGCTTGTGGGGTCCGTGTAATGTGGACATTCTTAGGGGTTACCTTGAAAGATGAGTAGGGGGGCCGGGCCAGAGTTGGTTTAGGTGTCCGTAAAGCAATTTCCTCTGCTATCTAAATTTTCAGTTCGAATCTCTTACAGATAGAGATGATGTTTTTTCCCTGTATCTTTATTGGAAAAGTCCTGTGTTGAGCTAAATTATTTTCCTAGGGTGGAAGATGTGTGAGAGAGAAACAGCCACACTTGGAGGACATACTTACTGGCCTCCCCTTTATCTAGCCTAGAGAATCATTCCCTTTTTCTCCCCCGAGAAGTGTCTGCGTCACCTGAGAACAGACGGAGGAGGCAGCGCTGCGCTCCCTCCCACAGAGAGGGCAGAGATTTCAGCTGCGTGTTGTGAAGAAAGGTGTATATTTAAGAAATATTAAAAGGGAACAAACCTTTATTTGAGGTGGATGGTTTCTTGTAGAGAGGCAGTTGGCTGTGGTTAGGCCCATCCACCTGATGGGACTTGTGCTCTGAGACCACCTGGAGGAGGCTCCTGGAGGTGAGGGGGGGCGCAGCCGTGAGCCTTCTGCCCTCTCCTCCTGCAGCTGAGGGCACCCCGCCCAGAGCAGAGGGCCAGCAGAATCAGAAGGCCTGCCAGGATCTGTCACAGAAAGGATTTTGTGTTTAAAATCTAAATATTGTACATAAGAAACCAGGAGGACTTTACGGCTTAAATGTGCCCAGCTTGACTCGATGGGGGGGGGGTGTGTGCGCGCGCGTGTGTGCCTGTGTGTCTGTCTGTCCGTCTGTCCATTTGTGTCCTCAGGTGGAGTCAGAGCGGCAGGGCGCCCCTGCTCTGCCCTGTCGTCGTGTCAAGGGCTGCGGGCCTCGGGTAGGAGGGACCTTAATTACCTATGGCCCTGGCACTGGTGTGGTGGCCAGCCCCAGGTGCTGGGTGGCACCCCTGGCCCCGGGCCTCTGGTAACCTTATCTTTTATAGTAAGTACTCTGCATAGTTTTCTTTTTCACATTTTTATTTTGTAAGAAGTTTAGGAATATTTTTGCATGGATCATTGTAAACAGAAGAGTCTTTATTCCTAATGTGTGTAACGTAGTGTGTTTAATGATAAGAACTTTAAATTGCTTCAAGAGCACTTAACCCACTTTGTGTGTATGTCTGTGTGTGTGTGTGTGTCTGTGTGTGTTTGTGTAGCAGCCATCTCCCCCAAGCGCACCGTTTTATGTCCACTTCCTCAACTTTTTGCTGGTGATTCCACCTGTATAGCGGATGGTTTGTAACATGGATATATCCTAATGGTTCCGGGGGCCGAACTGTTCTAGTAACAGAGAAGTCAGTTTCCCCAGGTTAGTGTAACAAATTAGGAGAAAGTGCCATCTTAGTATGTGCTTTTAAAAAGCCCCAAACAACAGAATGGAAACACACACACACGCACACACTCTCCCTCTCCCTCTCTCTCTCATGACTACCTGTAGGGCTGGAGTCATTTGAGTTTGGGAAGAAGATAGTTATGCAGACTGTTTCTTCAGGCTTGCCTGAGACTTGGCACACACAGGGTGAGTGTTTTCACGAGCACTGAATTTAAATGATGTTTTCAAGAGAAGGAGAAGAGTGGGTTGCATTTTTTTCCCCGTTTACATCAGCTTTATAAACACTTTCCCCCTATGATTTCTAAAAAAATCTCATTTCCCTTGTGTGAAGTTGAGTTGGGAGACTTCATCAAATATTTTTGCATCGTGGAACACATCTGTGCAGAAATATTTTCAATTGGAAACTGTCAGGGCATCAGCTAGCAAATATGAAAGGTAGATCTTGGCTGGCAGGTAAGGATCTGGACATAATGAATAGTAACAAAACTCATAGGTTGTAATTGTAGCCGCATTTAGTTGCAGTAAAATCAGTTAAGGAGTAGAACTTCTGTCACAGTTGCATAATTTGATATCCCAAGCACAGCAGTAGAACACGCGGAGAAATCCTGCATTTTCTGTATGTGACATTCCTAATTTGAGAGTCCTTCAGCTGAATTAACACTTAGTTTAGAAGCTGAGACAGGCAAGTAAAGGAACTAATTCCTATGAACACAGATACCGTTTGTCGCACAGCCTCTCCCCCAGGTTAGGAGGTGTGTTTCCCTGCTGATGCAAATCCTGCTTGGCCCTGGGACGGGTGACTGGACGTTGGGCAGTGAGTGATGGTCCCATCAGCGGCTGCCTCTGAGGGGTGACCCTTCCTGGTCACGGGCACAGAGGTGCTTTCGGAACCCGTGTCCCGTGTTCAGTCTTTTCGGCACGTTCTCAGTGGGGTTATTAGGCCTGCGGTTGTGTCACGTGACTCTGTCCCTCCATGCCGTGCAGATGTAGCACTTACAGGAGCTGGGGCGGGCCTGAGTGGGGCTGGGCCCTGGTCAGCGCACACCTGCCCTCCCCGGCTGCGCTGGCGGTGGCCTGGCAGTAGCGGGGGAGACGCAGTCTGCGGGCGCCTGGGGTGTGCTCCTGTCTGGAGTCCGCCTGCCTGAGGGCAGACACAGGCCCGCTTTCAAAAGGAGACCCAGACTTCTTACCCCGTCCCTGGGCACGTTTGGAAGCAGCATTATTCTGACCATTGGGCCACCTTCTCCCCATCTGGCAGCAGCAGCCGGACACCCTGGGCCTTGCCAGCCTGGGTGCCCGTCTGATGCCCCCATGGGTGCAAGGGCAGGGTTAAGGGTGCATGGCTACGTGGGGGGCAGCTTCTGGCTCTTCTCTTGGTGCTTCCGAAGGTGGGGGAGGTCTCTAAAGACGCAGGGTTGTCCTAGGGGGCCGGCATCCTGCGCGGCTCGAGCACATCTCAGATGGCGGTGTTGCCCTCCTGAGCTGTTTGTTATCAGCCTGAGCCTTCTGAAAGTAGCCTGCAGGTGACACGCTGCAGAGGAGGGTCTGATCTGTTCAGGTAGGACGTTGCAGAGTTGATCCTACGTGTTTCAGAGGACTTGTCACTTTCCGCACCCTATTCATCTGAAGAACAGAAAACCTCTGGGGTAAACTGGTTTGAGTCCCCAGGACTAATGTTGAGTCACTTGGGACCTGAGACGGAAGAGAGGCAGGCATCTCTGCAGGGAACCTGCAGTGAGCCTCAGGACATGCTGTGCGCCCAGGACTCATCTTGGCCTCCCGGGTCCTGTCGGAGTCTCCTGGGGGCCTCGTGCGGACGGCCAGGCAGTTGGATACCTGGGCTGGATCTGATGGCGGGGTTGCTGTGACTGTCACTCAGGAGAGGCCCCAGGGAGCCACCTGGGTTCTTGTTACTGACTAGGAAACAGTTCCTTTTATTTTGTTTTTAATGATTTTTAGATACTGTTTTTTTAAACCATTCTCTTGGTACTTTTCTTAAGCTTAAGTCAGCACCGTCTTCCAGTGTTAAAGGCACCCCTCACCTCTGCATTGAATTTAAAGTGTCAATCGATACAAAGAAATGGAACATCCATCCTGAGCCAGTTCCATTATGTGTAAATTCATACTATTTTAATTTTTTATGCAATCTGATGAGTAGAAGAGCTCAGATTTAAAATTCTTAAAAAAGCACGTTTATGTAACAAGAATTGTTATGTATTAATACTGCAGTTTTCAATAAAGATTGACTTGTGTTGCATGTTGTGGTTTTCATGGTTTTTCCCCGTAGGTTCTGTCTCCTGGATGGGAGGTGGTGCAGCTTCTCCCAAGTTCAGGAAATCCAGAGGTTTCACGCTCACACCCAGTGACCTTGGCCACGTGCAGGGGGGTGAAGGCAGCAAGTTGCAGTCACTGTTTCCCTGGGTAGGAAGGGGAGGGGAGCTACCCTTCCTCCTCCTCTTCTGTTCCTCTGGCTCGAGGCCTCCTGGGAAGAGGATGCATTCGTCCCCCTTTGACCCAGAGAGACCCAGAGGAGGCAGACTGCCTTTCCCCCCACCTCACATTTGCTGCCTTACCTAAGCAGACTCACGGAGCAGCTAGGGAAGGTGGGTGGAGATAGCTCCCAGCCCCACTGCCCCACCACCTCTCAAGCACTGGGCCTCCCTCCCCCAAGCTCAATTCTCCAGGATAAGGAAAGGCCCTGGGCAGAAACAGGTAACAGGCTTGGGGAGGAGAAAATGCAGACACCAACAGAAAACAAGGGCTGGCAGCCAGGTTATTTTTCACAAGTTTCTTTATGAAATTAAATGTGGTTTCTGGCTTGGAGAAGGTATAGTGCAAGAGTGACTGTACATGCTGCTCATTCCCTTGGGCCGTGGGGCAGCTCTGCGCTCCGCACCCCCAGCCAGGCCCCGGCCGCTCTCCAGGTGCCCCTCCACGGTGGGATGTGGGCTTCCCTCCACCCACAGGCCCACCAGCCTCCGGATGGGTCAGTCCTGGATGCTGGGCCACAGAACTCAGTCCTTATGGCTTCTCACGCTCACGTAGGGTAAGGCAATCTTTCTGTGTCACTAATTCTTTTTCTCCATCATTAGGAAAACAAGAGTCCAAACAAAAAAAAAAAACACTGGAACCAGGTTCTGGAATCATCCCACAGCAACAGGTAGACTGGTCACAAACCCTGACAGGATTTAGCTGACTACGGTTTTGTTTTCTTTCCACTATAAACAAACACATCACAAGTGAAGAGAGGGTGTCCAGCAGCCAGGGGCGTCTAGAGAGGGACTGGGAGGCAAAACCCGGCGGATTCTGGGCCAGACGATGTTGTGCACAGAATTTCTGGTTCCCACCCGCCAGGGACGCAGGCTGCCTGGCCACTAGCTGGGGGCCTGCGCGGAGAGTTGGAGGGCACACTGCCTGGCTTTGCAGGTGGCTGAAGGCAGAGACGGTCTCCTGCCCAGAGGAAACAGGAGCAGGAGGGATGGTTCGCTGTCCAAAGCGGCCATTCTCGCGCTGGCCTGGTGGGTGGTCTGGGCTGTGGCCCCCGAGACGCCCCCACAGGCCTGGGGGGGCGCTGGGAGGTTCGCGTGCTGGGGGCCTGCCTCTCCAGCCGGGTCTTCAGTGCCCCAGTAGTGGGGGGAGAAACCCCGAATAGGGGCACTGAGCGCCTCCCACGCTCAGCCCCGCTAACTTCCAGTTCGCATAATGCGCAGAGGAGGGAGGGCCGGGTGCGATGGGCCTCGAGAAGAGCTGGAGGCCCGCCGGCCGGGCAGGTCCAGACGGTGCCGTTGGGGGCGCGGGCTCACTTGCGGAAGGGCGCCAGCCGGCTGATGCTGTGCCAGAAGGTGGAGGGCTTCCGCTTGGGCTCTGCCAGCACCAAGACCTGTTGCTGGGGCAGGCTGGTGGGCAGGGCCGGGTGCTTCTGGCGCGTCAGGTAGTAGGGCCGGCCGAGGGCTGGGCAGGGGGAGAGAGCAGGGTGAGGGGGTGCCTGGGGAGCCAGGAGGCCGCCCCCTTATGGGTGCCTCACACGCCCACCTTTGCTTCCCCGTGGGCCGGGGCCGCAGAGGAGCTGGCTGGGTGCCTGGAGCTGCGCACGGGCACCCCTTAAATGTCTCTGTAGGAATGGGCTGTTGGCTCCTGGGCAGGAGGTGGTGAGGACGCCTGCCAGGAAGCAGTCCCCCTGGGGCAGTGAGCACTGGTACCAAGCGACTGCTCAGGGACTGACGTGGGAGCCCAGCACCTACGAGGCTTCCCTTTGGGAACAAACATGTGCAAAGGGCCTTGGGCCCCTCTGAGGACTCAGGATTCTTTGGGGGTCAGAGAAGGGTTTGAACGTGGAAGGCTGCTACGGGGGGAGGTGGGACCATCCCCTCTTACCTTTGGGCTTCCCGAGGGCCTGCTGCTTGCTAGCGTTCAGCATGGCCTGCTTCCTCTGCAGCTGGGTGATGGAGAAGCCTGGGAGGGGGCCGCAAATGAGACCCCTGCTCCCCTGTGAGAATGCAGCTACCCTTCCACCTCCTTCATCCCAGGCCCTCGTACCTCCCGTCCTGGCACCGGGGCAGTCCTGGGTGCCTGCACCGCCCACCGTGTTCAGGATCCCCTCATGCCTTAGGGACTCCGCTTCCTGACCCACCAGCTCCCTAGGCCTCCCAGGCGGAGGAGATGCTCTGAGGGGTGCTCTGCTGCCCTGCTTGGGGGCCCTCCCACCTTCTCCCCCATCTCTCCCCCGACCACTCACTGACATGACCACTGTCCTTTCTCCCCAGTGTAGTGGGCGGAGGCTCGCAGATCAAGAACCGACCTGGGCACTGCCCAGTATGACGGCCAGGGGCCCAAGGACAGAAGGGGGAGGCAGGGCTGGGGGTAGGGACGGCTTCTAGAGGCCAGTGCGCCCCTCCACTCCCACCCACCGAGCAGAGGCCCCCACCCTTTGGAGCGTGTGTGGTGGAAATCACCCCCCAACCCCAGGCCAGCAGGCCCAGGCCTGGGGCTGAAATCAAGAGGTGTCTCGGAGCCTCGTGGAAGGCCGGGCACGCCTGGCAGCGGAGCAAGGCTGAGCGGGCTCGCACCTGTCTCCTGGTCCAGCCGCACCTGCTCCCGCTCCCTGGCGAAGGCCCTGAGCCAGCGCTGCTTCTGCTCGGGCTTCTTGGCGCACAGCAGGTGGCTCTCCCCTGTGGGGCTGCAGCGCAGCCGGAAGGCGTTCCTGACGCTCACATGGAGCTCCTTGTCCTTCCCGTCCTCCAGGTCCACCACCTCCAGGCCGTCCATGTCCACCCGGCCCTTATAGTACAGCACGTCCCGGCGGAGGAGGTCCTGCCAGAAATGCCGTGAGCTGCCCGCCCTGCCGGCTGGCCCCGCCTCGCCGCCTTGATTAACTGTCTGGCCTAGGAGTCTTTCAACACCTAAACTCTTGTGGAAACAGGCAAGAGGCCAGGGCCCAGGGCGCAGGGCAGAGAGGGGCACCGGTCTACTTGGGAGGGCTGCCCAGCCAGGGCCGCTTGAACCAAGTTTGGAAGAAGTGGAAGCTAGCCGCCAAGAGGAGGTTCTGCGGGAGCAGGGGCCCCGGGGTTGAGGAGACGAAGCTGAGGTCTGCAGGGAGACGGGTGTCAGGAAAGAGGGTGTTCTTAACAGCACAGGGCCCTGGTCAGACTGGGAGGACCAACCCCTGGGCCCTGGGCTACCAGGCTCACCCTGTAGAGAGCCCTGGCCCCACCCCGGCCGAGGGGCCTGAGCAGGGAAGGGCCCCGGGAGAGAGGAGTCGCGTGTGGGCGGCTCCTGTTCTCTGGACAGCTGCTTCCAGCCCTCGGCTTCACCCCCTACATTCCTGCTCTGAACAGGCCCGTCCAGCAGGGAGGAGCAACACTGGTACCTTCTTACAGTAGATGAGCTGGTGGTCAAAGAGAAAAAACATCCTCTGCTGGCTCCTGGCTTGAGGCTGGGTGACACGAGTCAGCTCCCCGGAGTGGATGAGTTCTGAGCTCCTGACCAGGAGATCTTCCCCCTGGGGGCCCAAGGGGAGCAGTGAGCGGAGTGCACCCTCTGCAGGGCTCTGCGGCCCACCTCCATTGCTGGGCGGGTGGGTGGGTGGGGTCTGCACTGGCCCTGCCTGCCCATGGCCCCCACCAGGCCAGGGTCTGCAGCGAGCAGCAGGAAGAGGTTGCTCCTGAAGCCCAAGGAAATGGAGGGGAGAAGAAGGGTGGTCTTGGGGGAGAGGGTACAGCTCAAGTGGTAGAGCACATGCTTAGCATGCGCAAGGTCCTAGGTTCAATACCCAGTACCTCCTCTAAAAATAAATTAAATAAATAAATAAATAAATAAATAAATAAATAACTTAATTACCCCCCCAAAAAAAACCTAAAAAAAAAAAATTAAAAAGGTGGTCTGACCCAGAAGCTGGATGTCTGCTAAACAAAGCCCCACGGTAGCGAGTGGTGTGAGCACTTGCAATGTGGCTAATCACTATAGAGGTGTCATCTCAGTAGAATATACACCGATTCTGAAGACTTAGTATGAAATAAAGAATGTGAATATTTTGGGGGAGGGTATAGCTCAGTGGAAGATTGCATACTTAGCATGCACGAGGTCCTGGGTTCAAGCCCCAGTACCTCTGTAAAAATTTTAAAAAATAATAAACCTAATTACCCCCCCGCAAAAAAAAATATTTCACCAATGATGTTTTATGGTGATTACACGTTGAAATGGTATTTTGGATATGAGTTAAATAAAACATCATTAAGGTTCATTTCACCTGTTTCTTTTTTTCAATTTTAAGATGGCTACTAGCACATATACAGTTCCCAGTGTGGCCCGTATGGTACTTTGATTGGACCGCGCTGCTCAAGAGAATCATTAGACCCAGCTGAAGGTCACCTCTGAGGCGGGTCTTTTAGGGGCTAAGGCAGTCTTCCTCCAGCTAAGTGTCCCTAGTACCTGAGGGCCCATCCTCAGACTTCAGACTTTCAGATGAACCCCTGCCCCTTCCATTTCCTCCAGGAGAATGCAAACCACAGTTGTTGGCAGCTGTTCAGTCCGGGAAGAGTGACTTTGTGTGGGTCCTTCGTCAGGGCGGGGCCTCAGAACCAGTCACCAGGAAAACAAAACCAAAACACCCAAAACAAAAACCGCAGCATTCAGCCCCACTCCCAGGGATTCTAACTGTATTTCCAGGGTGGGGCCCAAAAATCTGTATTTTCACAGATTGTTATGGCTGGTGGTGGAGGTAGAACAGGACAGTAATGTCACCATCATTCAGGCCTCCGTGGTGCCTTAGGAGGTGAGACTGGCCCACACAAGGGGCCTGTGCAAGCCAGGAGAATGGAACCAGGAGGCTCCGACTGCTGGCAGTCCATTTCGGGTCATGCTGTGGCAAGCCTGACCTTTTGGGAGCGCAGCCTGTCCTCGGAGGCTGGCTGGCTGCAAGCTGGGAGGAGCATGGTGGCATCTCACATCTGCCCTGTGCTCCTCACTGGGAAGCAGCACTCTGGGAGCAGCGCTCAAGGCCTGGGGCTCGGTGCTGGGCCAGGCTGGCGGGGCGGAGGACCAGCTCTTGTTTCCATGGTATTCTCCGGGGTGTCAGGCCCTCACCTCCCAGTCCTCTATAGAGCTCTGCCACTGAGCGATCTTGTCGATGTTCTCCAGTCTCCGTTTCCGCTCATTGATGAGCTGGGCCACGTTCTTCATGGCATGTAAGGCAGCTTCCACGTCCTTGAAATCCCTGGAGTGGAGCAGAGATGGGAGAGGGCTCCAGGATTGAGAGCAGAGGAGGGCTGGGGGCCCCCGTAGGTTGTGCCCCTGAGCCATCTCTCCAGCTATCAAGTGCACACCCCCACCCTCTCCACAGCGGAACTTAATATCCAACCCAGTGCTCTTCCATAGCATGGACAGCTGAGGAGCACAGGGGCTGTTGTGTGTTTCCCTCTGTGCTGTGCCCACAGTGGCGCCTGGCACACCACACAGGCCTGCCCCGAGGCTTGAGCAGAGAGCCTCAGGTCGCCCTGCTCCCCCGTCCCCTCCTACCTGTGCTGGGGGGGCGTGTACTTGAGCAGCTCCGCCAACTGCAGAGGATACTTGCAGATCTTCTGCACGGGCGTCAGCAGGAAGCCGTCCAGGGAGATGTCGATCATCTTCTGCAGCAGCCGGCAGGCCTCGAAGAAGTACACGTACTTGCTGAGCTTGGCGAGCCGAGACAGCTCCACGCAGGCGTTGGGGTGGTTGTTGCAGTACTCGGAGTAGATCTGGAAGTCCGCTTGCTGGGGGCACAGCTGGAGGTGAGGGTGGCTGTCTCCCGCGCCCAGCCCCGCCCCGCCCCCGGGCCACGGGCAGTGATGGGGAGGGGGCGGGGGGGAGCCTCTGCATTTCCTTCTGGAGCTGGGCGCAGGGGCTACCTACTTCTCTGGGCACAAGCCAGGCACAACGATGCCCAGGGGCGTGAAAGACCTCTGCCGAGTCAGGCAGGTGCCTGTCTGTGGCCACCAGGCTTTCTCAGCAGGGCCTTCCGCAGATATTTTGACCTTATGCCAGTTTTCTGAATGAAATCGGGGATGTTCTGAGGGGCCTGCTCTGACTTGGTTTGCCGCCCCCGGCCCCGCAGAAGCAGAGATGCTTCTAGAGCAGTGTTGAGGGGTGAGGGCGGCTGGGCAGGT